GTATAATGATGTGATTGTGATGCTGTAATTCTGAGTGTTTATGTGCTGCAGAACAGGAACCTGCTGTAAAACAGCAATTATGCTGACTCAGGCTTGAGTATTAGTATTTTTTTCCTATTAAATCAATAAATCAAATCAAATCAAACATCATTAGTTGCAGACGTGTGTACCTTAGCAACATGTTTTACATGATATGATAAAATGTACTGACAAACATTTCTATCATGTCAAAAATAATAATCAATAACAAACAGAGCTTTACTGTTGTGTTGACCAGCTTGTCCTCCATGAACAATATGGCCGCTCTCTCTGACCAAGAAGTCACATGATAGAGCCTCTATTCAGTATACCTCATTGGTCACTAATGACTTTTTTTTATTTAAAACGTATCAGCACTTTCTCTTGCAGAGTTGTAAAGTAACTAAGTACAAATACTTTTTTACTGTACTTAAGTAGAATTTTTGGGCATCTGAACTTTACTTGAGTAATTATTTTTCAGCCTACATTTTACTTCTACTTCTTACAGTTTCACACAATCATCTGCACTTTCTACTCCTTACATTTTTTAAAAAAGGCAAGAAGTAGAAAGTCGTTACTTTTATTCATTTTTTGCTTGTTTTCATTCCAGCTTTTCATTGTAAAAAATAAATACTATCCATATAAATTGTTCCCCCCAGATAGAGTGAATTTAATTGTAGCTGTATGTGAATTATAAATACATAAAATTCTGATACTGTATTAGTTCATACACAAACAAATCATGTCACACTCCAGCAGGACAGAATCATTCAAATCGAAGTACTGTACTTAAGAAGTATTTGTATTTCATGAATTATATTATTGCATTTGGCCGCAGCCCTCAGATAGATTTTCATTTAATGTAAAATGTTTGAGCAGCCTTGATATATGTATATAAACTGAAACAGCTGGACTAGTGCATCCTAAATTTAACATAAATTAATTATTTTTAATACAACAGTCATTTCTGCATTTTTTTGTGGAGGTCACCTCCTAATAAATGTCCTTACAGAAAATCTAACTGCTCATTTTAAATCAATACTTTTACTTTTAACACTTAAGTACAAAAAATATCAGATACTTTAAGACTTTTACTCAAGCATTCTTTAAATTGTACCAAAGTAATTTTTTAGTAAGATACTTGTACTTTTACTCAAGTATCACTTTGTGGTACTTTATACAACACTGCTCTCTTGTTTGGGTCAGGGTTAGAACTGGAGGTGGACCAGTTCAGTATCTTCCTCATCCTCAGCTTGACCTTTGTACTGTGCATTGTTTGAATCCTTTTATTGAAAAACAAAGAAATCACAGAGCCTGTTTTTTTCTTTTTTGTACTTCGGACATTCTGGATTGTATGTTTTTATAATTGAATTTGGTACAAAGAAAAAAAAACATTGTGAAGTTCTGATTTGTCCTGTTACAAACCATGCTCTCGAAGTGTGATGGCCTTTTTGTAGATGCTTCAAAAACAAGTGGTGCCAACTTTGAACAAGTTTAAAACAAGAAATCAGTTTTTGTTTTCAGTAGCGTTTGTGAATGTAACTGTGTCTTGTAGTGTTGGACAAAAGTAATCCAAGGTAATCTGCTGCCCATTTGATTTTATCAGCTCCTACATGACTGTCGGCCGTTCTGTTTGTGCACTCGATCTTTGCAAACTGAAATTTATCCAGATTCCATGAATAGTTTATATCCACGCGAGAGAGAAAGAGCATCGCATAAGATTGTTTTAGTTCACATTGATTTAGCATCAAATTTCTTACAAATTTGTTGATAAAGTTAAGACCCTCTGCTCTGATTTGCTTTTCAAAGACTCAAATTTATAAATTTATCTTTTACCCAGTTTTACCCAAATTCACCCTTCTTACAAACATCTTTAGGAAGGTGTTGCAGCTCGAAAACGAAGCAGGGAGAACATCATAATAAACCAAATCAAGCAGACGAAACAACATAAGAACGCTCAAGAATTTAGACATTCAACAGTAAAATAAAAGTAAATGAAATACGCTTTGATACCTTTTATGGTGTTTCAAATTACTTCTCACACTGAGCATTTGTTGTAAACCAAAAGTCAAACTCATTTTCACTGGGGGGGGCCACATGATGGTGTTTTATGTTTAATTTCAGCTAAACACTGTCTCACAGACAATACCTGAGCTCTACCTGGTATTTCCTGCATATAAACATCATTTAACATGTTCTCTTAACTGAAGTAGCTGGTGAAAATGCAATGAGATGAAAAATTTCCTTGGCAGAATTCACCAATTGTCGGCTACTTTTGAACGTAGGGATGAGATCCTGTCATTTCACAAATACTATAATCAACTTGCATTATGGGAAATGTAGTTTATGATCAATGCTGGCTTTAAAACATCTTACTTTAAGACATTAAAATATCTTTGAAGCTCTCGCAGACCTCATAAAGTGCAGTGGCACATTGTAAAAATGATTTGTAATATTTACTTGAGAAAATCCTGTAAACGATTTGCACTAACATTTGGTAAGTAAATTTAAATGCTACAAATTATTGTAATATTTACTCTCATCCTTATCTAGTAAAAGTTATTAAGAATATAGTTAAAGATTTGTGAATAAATCAGGTAAATTTTACTTAATTTGCTCAATGAAATCTTGTAACATATACTTGATCAAATAAAGTAAAATTTACCTGATTTTTCACAAATCTTTAACTATTTTAATAACTTTTACTAGATAATGATGAGTAAATATTACATGAATTTGTAGCATTTAAATTTACTTAACCAATGTTAGTGCAAATTTCTTTATAACAGTACACATGCATCATGCATAATATTGTAGCATGACACCTCACAGCTACAGAGAGAGGTGTAGCTCATGTTGTTGAAGACTTCACCAACAGGTGGTGGTTTTGAAGAACCTTTATTGGATTCTTCTTCATGAACAACACAGACAAAGTGAAACTCACAGGTCTTATTAATGACTAGGCCTACCACTCTCACTTATGGTTACTTCTGCTGAATGTCCTGATGCATCTCAGTAATCCAGGTAAAAAAATCAAAAAGAAAAAAAT